GACCAGCCTGAGCAAGAGCGAGACCCCGTCTCTACTAAAAATAGAAAGAAATTAATCGGACAACTAAAAATATATAGAAAAAATTAGCCAGGCATGGTGGTGCATGCCTGTAGTCCCAGCTACTCGGAAGGCTGAGGCAGAAGGATTGCTTGAGCCCAGGAGTTTCAGGTTGCTGTGAGCTAGGCTGATGCCACGGCACTCTAGCCTGGGCAACACAGTCTCAAAAAAAAAAAAAAATCATCTATGAATACTATGAAAACTTCTATGCACACAGACTAGAAAACCTAGAGGAAATGGATAAATTCCTAGAATCACACAACCTCCTGAGTCAAGAAGAAATAGAAATTCTGAATAGACCAGTAATAAGCAGCAAGATTGAAGCACTAATAAAAAATCTCCAAACAAAAAAAAAGTCCTAGACTAGAGAGATTCACAGCCAAATTTTTACCAGACCTGTAAAGGACTGGCACCTATCCTACAAAAATTATTCCATAATACTGAGAAGGACAGAATCCTCCCTAACTCTTTTATGAAGCCAGTTTCAACTTGATACCAAATCTAGGAAAGGACACACCAAAAAAAGGACACTATGGACCAATATCCCTCATGAACATAGATGCAAAAATCCTCAAACTGAATTCATAAGTGCATCAAAAGATAATTCACCATAATCAAGTGGGGTTCATCTCAGGGATGCAAAGATGATTCAACACATACATATCAATAAATGTGATTTACTATACAAACAGAAGCAAAACCAAAGACCATATATTCATCTCAATAGCTGCAGAAAAAACATTCAATAAAATCCAGCACCCTTTCATGATAAAAAACCTCCACAAACTAGGCATAGAAGGAACGTACCTCAAAATTATAAAAGCCATATATGACAAACCCAGAGTCAACATCATACTGAATAGAAAAAAGTTAAAAGCAATCCCCATAAGAACTGGAAGAAGACAAGGGTTCTCATTGTCACCACACCTATTCAACATAGTACTAGAAGTCCTATCCAGAGAAATCAGGCAAGAGGAAGAAATAAAAAGAATCCAAATTGGGAAAGAGGAGGTCAAACTATCCCTGTTTGCCAATGATATGACCTTGTATCTAGAAAACCCTAAAGACTTCACCAAAAGACTCCTAGAATCGATAAATAAATTCATCAAAGTCTCAGGTTACAAAATCAATACACATAAATCAGTAGCATTTCTATATATCAATAAAAGTCAAGCTGAGAGTCAAATCAAAGACTCAATACCATTTACAATAGCTAGAAAGAAAATAAAATACCTAGGAATATACTTAGCCAAGGAATTGAAAGATCTCTCCAAGGAGAACTACAAAACACTGATGAAAGAATTCGTAGATGATACAAATGGAAAAACATCCTATGCTCATGGATTGGTAGAATCAACATCATTAAAATGTCTATACTTCCCAAAGTGATTTACAGATTCAGTACAATTCCTATCAGAATACCAACATCTTACTTCACAGATCTAGAAAAAATAATCCAAAGCTTCATTTAGAACCAAAAAAGAGCCCAAACAGCCAAAGCAATCTTAAGCGAAAAGAACACATCTGGAGGTATCACATTACCTGACTTCAAATTATACTTACTAGAAGGCTACAGTAACAAAAACAGCATGATACTGGTGTAAAAGTAGAGACATAGACCAATGGAACAGAATAGAGAACCCAGAAATAAAACTGTATAGCTATGACTAAGTAAGCATTTTTTAAAGCATGTGACCTCAGCCTGATGATTCTCTGGTATGTGGTCTATAGACTACACTTCGAGACACACTGAGAGATATCAAATGTATCTTTTTGATTTGAAGAAAGTTTTGATATCAAAAATAAGTAGTTCATGCAAAGATTCCTCATGGCTCAAGTCCCTTTCCAAATGATTTGACATGTTAATCAATGACTAAGTATTTATTAACTTACGGAATAAGAAATGCAAAAGAGAAAAAATACACTCCTGTTCTCAAAGATAATATAATTTGCGCATGCTAACCACGAGTAGAAGAAATTTTGTACACGTAACTAAATATTTGCAGTTTTGTTTGCTTATGTGTTTTGTAAAATTGTTGACTTTGAAGTTTATGTCATTTCTTTCCCCTAGGTTATATTACTCAACAGGAAGCCTTGTCTTATGCTGTTGTACTTAGAGATTCAATCAAGAGAGCCTCAACCAAGGTAGCTTCTCAAAGAACCATTCCCCGGAAATCTTCAGCTATGACAAGAGAATGTCCTTCAGCACTACCTCTGTCTGTGGTTTTGCCAAAGGCCCAAAGTACAGGGTGCCGAACCCTCAGGAACTGAGGCTTGGCAACATTTTCTGAAACATGCAGTTTCATGTATCCTGGCATCTAGCATCCATGTATCTAGTGGGCATCTAGTGGGTACTTAGTACATATTTGTTGAATGACAGTGAATAAAAGAAAAATTTCTAACACAAACCTCAGACCTAAATATTAATATAATCTCTCTCCTGTTCACATAAATTTTGCTAGCAAGAACAAGTTGAGAGGTTTTGGAGCAATGGAGTAGAGAGTAAGCAAACATTTCCACATATAATCTGTAGTGTAAAATGACTTCTAAAGCTTTGAAAGTAAAAGCTCCCTTTGAATTAGAATCTCTTAGAGAATTCCAAAAATGGTGAAAGGGGACATGTGACCATAAGGTTCCAGGTTCTCTGTCACTGGGTGACCATTACCTGCAAGCCACCTGCACTGTATATATTGAAAATATAGAAACTAACATGGAATTAACATGGATCACAGAGGGCTCCAGAGCCATGTTATCTCAGCAACACTGTACATTTCCTTCCTCTCTTCTCCATCCATCAATCTCATTCAACTTGGCCCAAAAGCTTTTGGTTCTCACCTGACTTGATCACTTTGTGTCATTCTGAAACTTGCACTTATCATTCTGTCACAGCTGGATTGATTTTGCACAGCTATAATTGGCCTTGACACAGATAAGAGAATTCATGCACACACCTTTTCCTAGCAGCTGAAGAAACACCCTTAGCAGAACATGAAATAGCCCAAAGAACTGATCTCAAGTCTTACCTTTCTGTATCCTCAAAGGTTTTAAGCAAAGCATACAAGACTGTACAAATAAGCAAAAAAAGAGAAAATAGTCAGATCATTCTGTAGGCAGTATAGTATTATATTAGGCAGATTTAATAGTTATTTTCATCAGTGATTTTTCTGTGTGTGTTAAAAATTAATCACCAGTGCTCATGTAAAATAAAAATAAAAAATGCCTCTTTCTCATCTTTTTTTTAAAATGCTTCACCCCATTCAAATCATCCAATGACTTTGTCATGCCTATGAAAGGAATCGGTTGAGATGGGATATAAAACTGTTTAACAAAGGAAGTGCTAACATTGATCTGAAAGGAAGACGCTGCATTATTACCAGGGAAAAAAATCATTGATGATTATAATTATCTTCTCTTTGCAACCATTAACATGTAAGATATAAAAGTTGTCGTGAGATTCTGAAAACCCCCGATATAAGTTCTGAAATCCTATCTGAATTTTATTCAGAAGGGACAAGAGTCGTGGTTGGCCCACTAGTCTGATGGGAAGTCTTGGGGAAGCTGATATTGACCTTGCTGTGATCATTCACTTAATCATAAAGAAGCTTCTTGACCTTTGCAAATTTGAGCCCTGACTCACATACTGTAGCTTCACAGTTCTAAATAAGGAATTGTTAGGTAGGATTAAAAGAAGAAAAAAATTAAATGGAGCTGGGGCAAGCTATGGAGTAGCCCCCTTAAGAGACAGAGGTTTGTGGTAGATCTAATTTCACCTTTACTAACCTTCCTATTGTTTCCACGATGGGCCTTTTATCCCTCTGAACTGCTTGCGTGCACTTGTACCTTAGATATTTTTTGTTTATGTTGGGCATAGATATTTGTTGTGTAAGCCTTAGCTAGTGATGTAGAATATCAAAAAGGCCATTTATAATTCTGAGCTACATCCCTGAATCAAAAGTCTCAGAAGAACCTTGTTTCTGAGAGAGACTTCTAAGAGCAGATTGACAGGTGAATGTCACTGATCCATAAGAAGGACAAATAGACCTAAGGTGGTGGAGAAGGTCCCATTTTTTGGTCCTCCCTTGAGCTCGCAATTTGAAGCTTATAAGGAATGCAATTGGTTATGACATTGGAAGAAGGGTGCTCATCTGGAAGGACACTGAGAAAGATGATCAAAGGGGAAGAGAGGAAAACCTACAACTTTTAGGAAAGTCTAATACTTTGACCTGTTGGAGACTATATTGCTTGCTCTCACAATGTCAATAGACATCATCAGAACTTAAAGTCCTGGAGATCAGTGAGTATTTTACCTGAAATCACTAGCACCTAGAACAACTCCTGGTCTGCAATAGGCAATCAATAATACTTGTTGAATAATAATGAAGTTTTCAAAGATTCCACAAGTCATACTGGCCTCTGACTTTGTGATATCATTCTAGGGCCCCAGGAAACCACAACAATTGGTTAGGAGTAGCAGTACTATGTCAAAAACAGATGAGGGGAAGAGTTCACCCGAGATGCAGGCAATAGAGGGTATACTGTGTGTAAAGAATTTTAAAACAATAATAAAGCTGACTGAAAGTTGGTCTACTTTTTACTATCACCATCATCCAACAATTCTAAACAATATCCGTGATAAAATAGTCATCCGCCAAAAAAAATCTTTTATTGAACTAGACTTTAAACAATTGCTGAGGTTACTGTTAAGTTTAAAATAGAATATATGTAAGCTTCAAAGTAGCACATTTTTATTTTTTTCTTTTAATAACCATTTTATCCCACATAGAAAGTAGTTCAGAGAACTCCCTGCTAAATGGTCAGCTTCCAGCACAGATAGTATCAGTTCACATGTCTCCAACCACTGTGGTACTATATATTCTTGCATTTAAATGACAGATTGAAATGAACAATGATTGTATCATGAATGTAAAGACAAGAAACAGAACTTAAATTATTTCAATTATTGATTGTATGTGGCCACTCAGAGTTTTTCTTTTTCAAACAATTTTATTGAGGTGTAATTTATATGCAATAAATGCACTCGAAGTTTAATGAATCTTGACAAATGCATACAGTTACCTAACCAGCACCATAATCATGATATAGAATGTTTCCATTACCTCAAAATTTCCCATGTCCTTTTGTAGTCAATCTCCTCCCCCAAACCCTGGCCCATGAAAATCACTGATCTGCTTTCTATCACTATAATTTTACCTTTTCTAGAATTTTGCATAATTAGAATCAGAGTACATAGTCTTTTGTGTCTGACTTTTCTCACCTAGCATGATGCTACTGAGGTTCATCATGTTGCATATATCAGTAGTTTGTTTCTCTTCATTGCTGAGTAGTGTTCCACTGTACGGATACACCACAATTGCTTATCCATTCACTGGTTGGTGAGCATTTGGATTGTTTCTAGCTTTGGACTATTATGAATAAAACTGCTATAAATATCTGAATGTAAACCTTTGCATGAACACAGTTTTTATTTCTCTTGGGATGATTCCAAGGAGTACAGTTATCAGGTCATATGGCAGATTTAGCTTTAACCCTATAAGATACTGTTGTAGTGTTTTCCTAAGCTGCTGCACCATTTTGCATTCCCATTAGCAATGTACAAGAGTCTTAATTGCACCACATTGTTGCAATGTCACACATTTCTATTTTTGATTCAAGTGACTGTGGCTTCTGGGCTGAGATCTTGTGTGTGTGGAAAATATGAGAATTGCCATTATTAGTTATAGCTATTTTTTTTTTTTACTGGAAACTGTGGCAAATTTCAGGGACAAAGATCAGATGTGGGGGTAGTGATGGTGATAATCTTGAGATTTAATAGATGAAATTTCAAAGTTGAGCAATCAATCCTGATAAGAGACTCTCCAGTTTATGTTTGGGGAAGGAAGCGATTGGAAGAAGTGAGGAAGAAGAAAAAAAAAGCAACTCCATGTGGGAAGGACCAGCCCTGCAAAAAATTGTGGCATGGATTCAGTGTGTCCTCGTTAACTTCTTACCTTTCCTTGTTTACACTGTTCTTCAGTTTCAGCAAGCTTTATGTACTACTTTAGTTATCAAGTGCTGTACAATATAGTACTCCAAAATGTAGTAACTTTAAACAATATTTACTATCTCACAGTTTCTGTGGTCAGGAATCTATGCATGGCTTAGCTGGAGCTTCTGGCTCAGGGTCCCACACAAGTCTGCAGTCGAGGTGTCGACTGAGGCTGTGGTCTCATCCTAAGATTCAACCGGGGAAGGATCCACTTCCAAGTTCTCTCATGTAATTGTTAGCAGAGTTTAGTTCCTTGGGGCCTGGTGGACTTAGGGCCTCAGTACCTTTACTGGCTGTTGGCTGGAGGCCACCCTCAGTTCCGTGCCACATAGACCTCTCAATAGGGCAGCTCACAAATAGCAGCTTGTTTCATCAGAGTTAGAAAATGAAAGAGAGAGTGTTTGTTGGGTGGAAGTTCCAGTCTTTTATAACCTAATCATCACTTTCACTTTGTTCTATTCAATAGAAACAGGTCACTAGGTCCAGCCCACACACAAAGGTAGGGATTACTCAAAGGTGTGAATATCAGAAGGTGGGCCTCATTGGGAGCCATTTCTAGGCCAGGACTAGGATGAAGTGAGTGACATGCCTATGGTCCAAAATTGAAGGGAACACTCATTCTTGCACAATCCTCAGAGTGAATGTCCCCAGATCCCTGGTTCACCTTACCTCATCCCAGCCCCACTGCCTGCTACATGCACCAATGCACTCACTGTGACTTCTGATCCCCAGTCAGGGCTCTTGGCCAAGACAACAAACCTAGACTGTCTTCTCAGGCAACTGTCCTGCAGTGCACACTTTCTTTCTGCCATGCCCCTCTCTCAAAACCTAGCTGTTTTTTGTCAATCCTCCAACATACTCTTAGAGGAAAATGATATAAAAAAAGTCTAAAATACTTAATAATTAATATCTAATTCTTGTATAACCTATATATTTAGAACAATATTTATCAGAACACAATCCATATACGAGAGTCACTGAGGATAATTAAAGAAAATTCAAATTCCTGAGTTTCTTTCTAGATCCAGTGGATCAGAATCGCAGGTGATACTTAAGCTTACTAAAGTATAATGGCTTTTTGCATTTAATGAGTAACTTCAAAATCATATGTTTTAATCCTAAAAAAAAAAAACCTGAATTTCTGTTTGACAAATTTGGCAAACATTTAGGGGCAAGAGTTGCATGATGAGAGAGGCTCTTTTGGATAGGGGAAGTATCTCCTTGATAGTCCTCAATATCCCATGTAAATAAGCTACATATTATTCTTACTTAAAA